CTGGCCCAGCCCAGGCTATTGGAGGACATTTGGAGAGTGAACTAGTGGACAGAAGATCTCTATCTCTCTCTCTGTTTTTCTCTCTCTTTATCTAGAAAACAAAGCAAAACAAAAAACAGTTTACCATAATAGTGAAGAGAACAGAACCTAAGTAGTTTAAAAAATAGTAGTAATATTAACTGTTTAGTCATATTAATAAGCTGAAAACATGTAGGTCAGGCTTCATTATTAATTTCTTTTTTTTACAGATTTATTTACTTATTTGAAAGGCAGGGTTACAGAGAGGCAGAGGCAGAGAGAGAGAGAGAAAGAGAGAGAGAGAGAGAGATCCTCCATCCACTGGTTCATTCCCCAAATGGCCGCAATGGCCAGAGCTATGCCAATCTGAAGCCAGGATCTAGGAGCTTCTTCTGGGTCTCCCATGCAGGTGCAGGGGCCCAAGGATTTGGGCCATCTTCCACTGCTTTCTCAGACCATAGCAGAGCAGCCAGAACTTGAACTGGTGACCATATGGGATGCCAGCACTGCAGGCAGCAGCTTTATCTGCTACACCATGGTGCCGACCCCCCATAATCAATTTCTTATCTTGATTTCCACGAAATTTAGAAAATAAGAAATTCACAATGAATTTAGCAGATATGGCAAGGAGTTTTTGATGGTTACTAGATAATTCTGAATCATTGAAGTGAATATGGATCTACAAATTTTATCATGGAGAGAGTTTCTTCTTTTTTTTTTTAAGATTTATTTTATTTATTTGAAAGGCCAAGTGAGAGAGAGAAGAGACAGAGAGGGGAGAAAGAGATCTTCCATTTGCTGGTTCTCTTACCAAATGGCTACGATGGTTGGGGCTAGGCCAGGCTGAAACTAGGAGCCAGGAACTCCATCTGAGTCTTCACATGGGTGGGAGGGGCATCTTCCACTGCTTTCTCAGGAGCATTAGGAGGGAACTGGATTGGAAGCAGAGCAGCTGGGACTTGAACAGGCGCTCTGATATGGGATGCTGGCATTGCAAGTTGTAGCCTAACCCACTAAGCCATAATGCCAGCCCCATAGAGAGTTTCTAATTGAAGACAGCTTTCAATAGTTTGTCAGATTCTAAGCAGAGGAACATAAGTAACCTCAAAAGTTGAATGTTTTTCAGTTTCATTGGTTGCCTTCAGCTCTGGAATCTATTTTTTCCATTTTGTTGCAACATTTGGATGTGGTTTAGAATATGTTCAATGTGTCATTTTTCCCCCTTTGATGAAGAAAGAAAATTATGTGTTGGGAAATAATAAACTCTTGGCAATGAAGGCATTTTCATCACAGTCTTGTTTTCTTACAAAACCCTGATTCTTTGTTCTTAACATTAAAAATTATGACTTTGCAATTCACCCTCTGCAGTGGAATCGATGGAGATGTTCATAAAAACTTTATGAGCAGCTGGCACCGCGGCTCACTAGGCTAATCCTCCACCTAGCAGCGCCGGCACACCAGGTTCTAGTCCCGGACGGGGTGCCGGTTTCTGTTCCGGTTGCCCCTCTTCCAGGCCAGCTCTCTGCTGTGGCCAAGGAAGGCAGTGGAGGATGGCCCAAGTGCTTGGGCCCTGCACCCCATGGGAGACCAGGAGAAGCACCTGGCTCCTGGCTTCGGATCAGCGTGGTGCGCTGGCCACAGCATGCCGGCCGTGGCGGCCATTGGAGGGCAAACCAACGGCAAAGGAAGACCTTTCTCTCTCTCTCTCTCACTGTCCACTCTGCCTGTCAAAAACAACAACAACAACAACAACAACAACAACAACAACAACAACTTTATGAGCAAGACCATCAGTCTCTAAGTTGAACCCTCTGATACAAGGGAAAATGTAAAGGCATTCCAAGGTAAGGAAGAAATTCCTGTTGAACAGTGAAGAGTGATCTTTGATGGCAAAGAATTGGAAGATGACCTCAAAAAGAGGTCAAACTTCTTCTTATGTTCAGACTACATGGTGGAGTTAAGGAAGAAATTTTACCCTACTGCTAAGACAAATAAGCATAAGAGAAGTGGAAGAGACTGGCAAAATTCAGCACCTTTGTTGGGAGTGCCTACATTCTTATGGCCAGCTACTTTTTTGTAAAGATTTATTATTATTATTATTTTTTTTGAAAGACAGAGTTATAGAGAGGTAGAGGCAGAGGCAGGGAAGAGAGATCTTCCATTCGCTGGTCCACTCCCCAAATGGCTGAAATGTCCAGGGCTGGGCCAATCTGAAGCCAGGAACCAGGAGCTTCTTCCAGGTCTCCCATGCAGGTGGGAGAGGGCCCAAGGAGTTGGGCCATCTTACTACTTTCTCAGGCCATAGCACAGAGCTGGATCGGAAGTGGTACAGCTGGGATTTGAACCAGAGCCCATATGGGATGCCGGCACTGCAGAAGCGCCGCCCTCTGGCTAGCTACTTTGACAGATGTGATTGTGGTAAATGTCATGTGACTTACTGCTTCAACCAATCAGAAGACAAGTAATCGTGGATTGGTTAATAAAAAACATGAGCTAGAAAAAAATCATGGCATTTAGAACTTGATGTAAAACATTCCGATTAACAAAACCATAGCTCTGGGCTGGCGCCATGGCTCAATAGGCTAATCCTCCGCCTAGCGGCCATTGGAGGGTGAACCAATGGCAAAAGGAAGACCTTTCTCTCTCTCTCTCTCTCTCTCTCTCTCTCTCACTGTCCACTCTGCCTGTCAAAAAAAAAAAAAAAAAAAAAAACAAACCATAGCTCCGATGTGAGCAAGTGTACTTGAAATAACAAAAATGGATTCTATTATTATTAGCACAAAGAAGGGACTTTTACTCCAGCTGTTATTAAAAAATTTGTGACTTGGGGCTGGCACTGTGGCATAATAGGCTAAGTCTCTACTTGTGGCCCCGGCAGCTAACCTGCTGCACTACAATGTCAGCCCCAGAACTCAAACATCTTAACTGGCCTCCCATACCACTGCTGTACTCACTGAGTGTCCTTTGCTAAGTCTCTTTGTTCTATTGCCTTATTTTCAAAATGGAAATAATACTATGATCTACCTTATTATTTTATTGTGAGTATTGAATAAATATGTATAAAGGATTTTGGACAGCTTTTTTTTTTTTTTAATTTATTTGAAAGTCAGAGTTACAAACAGAGAGGAGAGGCACAAAGAGAGAGGTCTTCCATCCGCTGGTTCACTCCCCATTTGGCTGCAACGGCCGGAGCTGTGCGGATCTGAAGCCAGGAGCCTAGGGCTTCTTCCAAATCTCCCACATGGGGGCAGGGACCCAAAGACTTAGGCCATCTTGTACTGCTTTCCCAGGCCATAGTAGAGAGCTGGATCAGAAGTGGAGCAGCTAGGTCTCTAACTAGTGTCCATATGGGATGCTGGCACTTCATGCTGGGGCGTTAACCCGCTGGGCCACAACGCCTGCCCCAGGCAGTTTCTTATTATTAGAAAAGAAACCTGTAGGAGCCGGCACTGTGGCATAGTATGATAAGCCTCCACTTGCAGTGCTGGCATCCCATATGGGCACGAGTTCGTGTCCCAGCTGCTCTACTTCCAATCCAGCTCCCTGCTTATGGCCTGGGAAAGCAGCGGAAGATGGCCCAACTGCTTGTGCCCCGCACCCATATTGGAGACCCAGAAGAAGCTCCTGGCTCCTGGTTTCGGATTGGCTCAACTCCGGCTGTTGCGGCCATCTGGGGAGTGAGCCAGTGGATGGATTACCTTTCTTTCTGTCTCTCCCTCTGTCTGTAACTCTACCTCTCAAATACATAAAATCTTTAAAAAAAAAATCTGTAAAGTCCTCTTCTTACCACTCCCCTACTAAAAATGTATCATTATGTTCCTATGACTAAATGAAGTTACAAAGTTACACTGCTTTCTTTTCTTTAAATTAATTTATTTGAAAGGCAGCGTGACTGAGAGACAGACACAGAGAGATCTTCCATCTACTGGTTCATTCCCCAAATGGTCAAACTGAGGCTGGGTCAGGTGGAAGCCAGTGTCCAGGAGCTCCATCCTGGTCTCCCACATGGGTGGCAGGGACCCAAGCACTTGGTCCATCATCTGCTGCTTCTCAGGCAAGTTGGATCACAAGCATGGAGGAGCAGAGACTCTAACCATCACTCTGACAAAGGGTGCAGGTGTCCCAAGCCACAGCTTAACCTGCCTTGCCACAACAACCACTGCACTTTAAATCAAAGTATCTTCCTTGTCCATTGCCTGCAGTTTTGGCTATTGGTATCTTTTATCAGCCTGTAAACACTGAGATCTTTTTAGATCACCACTTTAATAATAAGCATTCAAAAATTAGTTATTGGGCGAGTGGGGGCCAGTGGTTAGTCTAACCATTACAAAGATACTTAGCCTCCCATCCCACATCAGAGGGCTTGGGTTGCACTGTTGGCCGGATTCCAGCTTCCTGCCAATGCAGACCCCGGGGAGGCAGCAGAGATGGCTCAAGCAGTTGGGTTCCTGCCACCCACGTGGGAGCCCCGGTTTGTTACTGGCTTCTTCCACACCTGTCTCAGACATTGTGGGCAACAAGGCAGTGAACCAGCAGGTGCGATCTGTCTAATTAAAAAAATTACCTATTGAACTGTTTTCGGCAGGGACAAATGTCTTTTAAAGAGGGAGAAAAAACACCAACAAGGACTTCAAATCACATGAGAAGTTAAAAGTATTAGAATCCCTAAGGACGATTCACAAAAGTAGTCTGCAGGGGGACCTCACGGCTGAATCCACCACTAAGAGAAGCTTTTTAGTAAAATACACACTTTGTTTTTCACTGATGTCACTTGGTCACCGACTTCTGACGCAAGGAAGGCAGGATTACGGAGACAGCTGGACTTCTTCCTCGCTCTCTCTCCAGTGGCCGGCCTAGCGCACTGACCAGCCCTGCCCCTGGTCGGCTTGGCGTTTCCATTGGCCCGTGCCCACAGAGGAGGCCGGACGAGGAATGACCCGGCCCATCGAGTGGGCGGGGCCTAGCCACCACTGGGCCGGGGACGGCGGGGGTTGCCGCAGCCGCCATCTTGGATTCCGCGGTAGCGGTGGCGGCAGTAGGGCGCCGCTGCTGGGGAGTGGCTCGTCCCTCCCCCGCCCCCCGGCGTTCGGTGGCGGCGGCTCCTCCCACTGGGGGGGTGGCGCGGCGGCGGTGGCATCTAGGGCCATGGCGGCGACTACTGCTAACCCGGGTAAGGAGACGGAGGACTGGGGCGCCTGTAAAGGGGGAGGAGCTGAAGGGGCTGACAAGTGAGGAGATCTAGGGCAGAGGGTCGGTAGCGGGGGTTTAAGGCGCTGGGGCGGGAGTGGGCGGCCGGGGGAGAGGTGGGGGAGGGGAGTGACCTGGGGGAGGGGCCCGGGGACCGGGGAGCCCCGGGCTGGAGGGAGGGAGCGGGCGGGTGGGAGTTGGGGGTTCCTTGCGGGAGCCGGGTTGGAGCTCGGCGGGCCCGCCTCCGCTCCGCTGGCGGCGTTGTGGTCTGTGATGTGGTCCTCTTTTAACCCGCTGGCCCCTCAGGCTGCTGGATGTCGAATAACTGTGGGCAGAGTGGCTCGGTGCACTTTAAAAGTAGTTTAGATTCATAAACACGGGAGTTCGTTGCTGTTGGAGGTTGTTTGCAAACATTGTAGCGTTTGGTTTTAAGTTTTAAAATCGTGTGACTACTGTACGCTCAGATTCTGTAGGCTGTATCTCCGGTCCCCCCTTCTCACTCGGGGGCTATACCTTGAAACTTGATGTGTTAAAAGGGCCTGTAGTGTCTTGAGCTAATGAGGGCGAGTTTTGTAATGGTTGTGGGTCAGGAGAGATCTTTCGTCCAGAATCCCAGGTTTAAATCTCGTGAGGCCTAGGTCGAAGCAGTTACCATTCTTTCTGCGAAGTTTAGTTCCATGCCATTTCTCAGTGAACATTAAAAAGATTTAACCAGTCATGTTCAAGTGTTGGGGGTGGAGCTTGCTGTGCCGGTCTGGAGATGGCAAATCTTTGATTCTTCGTACAAGTCCTTTTCGCTGTTATAGATACTTCTCCTTAGGAAGCATTTCATTTTAGGGCACCTAGTTTATCTTCCTGACCTTGGCCATTCCCTTGCAAAATAAAAGCTATCCTTTCCCAGAAATCCAAATCTTTGATAGCCTTAAAAAGGGCTGAAGATGTGTTTGTGTGTATCTCTGTGTGTAATTTCTTGAACATTAATTTTTTTTTCATGTCTGGAAATGTAATACTATTTTTGCAATACTCAAGTTTTGATATCATAGTTGAATCGCTGAAATTTACTGTCTTTCCATGTTTCTAGGAGCAGAGCTATTTTAAGAAATGATTTGGCACATGCCAATATCATTAGAAAACTTGTAAATTATTTTTAAAAGGAAAAGGATATGAAATTAATGACTAAAATTCCTTGGAGGAAGTCCTGAATGATGAGCTGAAACTATAAAATTGGAAAAATGCTGTTATGGCAAAGCTGACCTTGTAGTAAGATAATCTATCTGTGAACTAGGGAGTAAATAAACAAGATTTTAAACTGATCACACATTGCAAAATACTTATATAACCCTAGTCAAGTTGTAAAGTATTTCTCTTATTAAGAAGTGGTCTGGGTAAACAAGTTTTAGGGCATATGTCAGAAGCTTTTTCCCAGCTGTGGGTGGGGTTGTTTTGTTTTGTTTTGTTTTGTTTTAAACAACAGCCAGCTGAATGAAAATCTCTTGACCATATTTTCATTAGCTGATCAATATCAGCTTACATGTTTTAAAAGAAAACATGTTTTTGGGACCGGCGCTGTGGCGCAGTAGGTTAATCCCCCGCCTGCGGCGCCAGTTCTAGTGCTGGCTGCTCCTCTTCCAATCCAGCTCTCTGCAATGGCCTGGGAAAGCAGGAGAAGATGGCCCAAGTCCTTGGGCCCCTGCACCCACATGGGAGACCTGGAAGATGCTCCTGGTTCCTGGCTTCGGATCTGCACAGCTCCGGCCATTGCGGCCATCTGGGGAGTGAGCCAGTGGATGGAAGACCTCTCTTTCTGCTCTACCTCTCTCTGTAACTCTGTCTTTCAAATAAATAAAATAAATGTTAAAAAAAAAACCACATTTTTGGTGCAGAATCTTTGTTAATCGCAGCGCCCCCGAAAATCACTTTTTTGTTTGTTTGTTTTTTAAGATTTAGTTATTTATTTGAAAGACAGAGTTAGAGATAGAGATAGAGAGAGAGGTCTTCCATCTGCTGATTCACTCCCTGTGTGGCCACACTGGTCACAGCTGAGCTGATCTGGAGCCAGGAGTTTCTTCTGGGTCTTACACGTGAGTGTTGAGGTCCAGGGACTTGGACCATTTTCTGCTGCTTTCCCAGGTGCAATAGCAGAGAGCTGGATCATAAGTGGAGCAGCCGGGACTCAAACCAGCACCCATATGGGATGCCAACGCTGCAGGTGAAGGCTTAACCTTCTATGCCACAGTGCTGGCCCCTCCATCAACTTTTTGAAATACTCTTGTAACTGTGTTGTAGGTTTTTGAGAAGCCTATTGCATTTTGGGAAACGAGATCCATGAATGGAGGGACATTGGGTGGAAATTTACTGTGCCCAGTGAAAAAGTAAATGGTTTTCAGGTCAGAATTCTTTACTGCCTCAGCACACCTTTGCTTAGAATCATTTTAGGGACTGTGGACATGATACCTATTTAAATTTTTTTCTAGTTTGTATTTTTGCTGGATTACTGGTTAAGTTTCCGTACAATTCTTGATTTATCTTTACATTATGTCTACAAAAGACTTTTAAAATAATCCACTCTTCTAAGGTTCAGTTTAGTTAATCCTTAGACTTAATAACAGTGCTTGGTCATGTTAATTGTATTTGGAATATAATTTAGAGATTGCTGGTCGTTTTTCAGTGTCTTTAGGGATCCTGTTTCTTCTGTATTTTTTTTTTTTTGGTAAGATTTATTTATTTATTTATTTACTTACTTACTTGAAAGTCAGAGTTACACAGAGAGAGAAGGAGAGGCAGAAAGAGAGAGAGGTCTTCCATCCGCTGGTTCACTCCCCAATTGCCTGCAACGGCTGGAGCTGCGCTGATCCGGAGCCAGGAGCCAGGAGCTTCTTCTGGGTCTCCCATGCGGGTACAGAGGCCCAAGGACTTGGACCATCTTCCACTGCTTTCTCAGGCCATAGCAGAGAGCTGGATCAGAAGAAGAGCAGCCAGGACTAGAACCGGTATCCATATGGGATGCTGGTGCTTCAGGCCAGGGCATTAACCTGCCACGCCACAGTGCCGGCCCCTCTTCTGTATTTTTCATTCTGGCTTGACGTGGTACTGGATCAGAGGAAGAGTAAGATCTGATATCCTGTCTCTAAGAGTTGTATTGAAGTAATACTTTCTAATGTGATGATGACTTTTTTCTGCATGAATTGATCATTCGTCATGTTCTATCAATTTTAACTAGTTCTGCTTACCAATGGCAAGTAGAAGTGGGTGGATAGGTGGCTCAGGAAATCTTGGGCTATATTTTTCTTACCTATGGATTACTAAAGCTTGAGAAACACTTTTTAAATAGGATGTGCAGTTTGTAATGCATTGGCTAAAAGACTACTTGGGAAGAGAGTAGGTTTGCTTTAGTTTACAAGTCAGTGTGCAAACCAAAGTTGTGAATAAGTCTGTAGTGAGTATAGATTTTTCCTTCGAGTTTCTCATTAGTCCAGAACTCTTTTTGTGCTATTATGTACATTTTTTTTTTTTTTTTTTTTGTGGATGGAGAATGAAATAGAAGGTAAAGTAGGGAGCACTGGGTTTGTAAGGCTGACAGGAAATTTTTTTTATATATAATTTTGATCTATATAAATTATGGTTTTAAAATCGTGAATTAGGGGCTATTTTGTGGCACAGTGGGTTAAGCTGCCGCCTGTGATGCTGACATCCCATATGGGTGCCAGTTCCAATCCCGGCTGCTTCACTTCCAATCCAGCTCCCTGCTAATGTGCGTTTGAAAGCAGCAGAGAGTGGCCCTAGTGTTTGGACCCCTGCACCCATGTGGGAGCTTCAGAGGAAGCTCCTGGTTCTTCGGCCTGGCATAGCTCCAGCTGTTGCGGCCTTTTGGGGAGTGAACTAGCGGGCAGAAGATCTCTCTCTCTCTCATCCTCTCTCTCTAACTCTGCCTTTCAAATAAAATTAATCTTTTAAAATCATCAATTAACAAAATTCATGTTACCTTTAATTGCCTTTGTGAGATATAGAAAAGTAGAAATTTAAGCATTATAAAATTAAGATGTCAGGACTATGGTGTACTGCAAAGACCTCTTCAAAAATTATTAGATAGGGTACAGTGTTGTGGGGCAGTGGGTTAAGCTGCTGCTTCTGATCCAAGTTCTTGCTATTGTGCCCAGATGTGCAGTGGACGATGGCTCAAGTGCTTGGGTCCCCACTGCCATTTGGGACATCAGGATGGAGTTCCTGGCTCCTGGCTTTGATCTGGCCCAGACTTGACTGTTAAGGCCATTTGGGGAGTGGACCAGCAGGTGGAAGATCATCTCACCTAGCCCCTCTCCTTCTGATGCTGTGCCTTTCAAATAAAGAAATAAATTTTAGAAAGAAGTATTAAATGTATTTTATTCAGCAGTTGAAATACAATTAACATGTTGAAAGGAACCTCTTTGCATACTTCTTTTTTTTTTTTTTTTTTTTTTGACAGGCAGAGTGGACAGTGAGAGAGAGAGACAGAGAGAAAGGTCTTCCTTTGCCGTTGGTTCACCCTCCAATGGCCGCCGCGGCCGGCGCGCTGCGGCCGGCGCACCGCGCTGATCCGATGGCAGGAGCCAGGAGCCAGGTGCTTTTCCTGGTCTCCCATGGGGTGCAGGGCCCAAGCACCTGGGCCATCCTCCACTGCACTCCCTGGCCACAGCAGAGGGCTGGCCTGGAAGAGGGGCAACCGGGACAGAATCCGGCGCCCCGACCGGGACTAGAACCCGGTGTGCCGGCGCCGCTAGGCGGAGGATTAGCCTAGTGAGCCGCGGCGCCGGCCTGCATACTTCTTTTGCAGTAGATCTGTGGCACCAACCTGAATCTTCTGTTTTCTTCAACATTAAGAAGTAGATATTTCTGCATTCTTGAAACTGGGAGATGGATCAAACCAGCCGGCAACCATATGGGATGCTGGCCCTGCAGGGGTGGCTTACCCTGCTATGCCATGATGCCAGTCCCTGGATGCCTTCC